CAAAATTTTCTAAGTGTGAATTCTGGCTTGATTCAGTGGTATTATTGGGCCACATAGTGTCTTGTGATGGGATCAAGGTAGATTCGAATAAGGTGGAGGTAGTGCAGAGTTGTCCTAGACCATCATCAGCTACGGAGATCCGTAGTTTCCTTGGTTTGGCGGGGTATTACCGTCGCTTTGTGAAGGGATTTTCATCTATTGCGGCACCTATGACTAGATTGACCCAGAAGGGTGCTCCGTTCAGGTGGACCGAGGAGTGTGAGGAGAGCTTTCAGAAGCTCAAGACAGCTTTGACTACAGCCCCAGTATTAGTATTGCCTACAGGTTCTGGGTCCTACACTGTCTATTGTGATGCCTCGAGGATTGGCCTTGGAGCGGTATTGATGCAGGACGGTAGGGTGATTGCCTACGCGTCTAGGCAGTTGAAGGTGCATGAGAAGAATTATCCGGTTCATGATCTCGAGTTAGCAGTTATTGTTCACGCCCTGAAGATCTGGCGTCATTATTTGTACGGTGTTCCCTGTGAGATTTAAATTGATCACCGGAGTTTGCAGCACTTGTTCAGGCAGAAGGACCTTAATTTGCGTCAGGGGAGGTGGTTGGAGCTACTTAAAGACTATGATATCACTATATTATACCACCCGGGGAAGGCCAATGTAGTGGCCGATACCTTGAGTCACCGGGCAGAGAGTTTGAGGAGTTTGGCATATCTTCCGACAGCTGAGATGCCCCTAGTCTTGGATGTTCAGGCCTTAGCCAGTCAGTTCGTGAGGTTGGATATTTCAGAGCCTAGCCGGGTATTAGCTTGTGTGGTTGCTCGGTCTTCTCTTTATGACCGTATTAGGGAGCGCTAGTATGATGATCCTCATATTCTAGTTCTTCAGGACAGGGTATGACGAGGTGATGCTAGCGATGTGACCATAGGTGATGATGGTGTGATGAGGATACATGGTCGGATATGTGTTCCCAATGTAGATAGGCTTCGGGAGTTGATTCTCGAGGAGGCCCACAGCTCGCGGTACTCTATTCATCCCGTTGTCGCGAAGATGTACCAGGATTTGAGACAACACTACTGGTGGAGGAGGATGAAGAAGGATATATTTGGGTTTGTAGCCAAGTGTCTCAACTGTCAGCAGGTGAAATATGAGTACTAGAGGCCGGGTGGATTACTTTAGAGGTTAGAGATACCAGAGTGGAAGTGGGAGCGGATCACCATGGACTTTGTAGTTGGACTTCCATGGACTTTGAGAAGGTTCGATGCTATTTGGGTGATCGTGGATCGGCTGACCAAGTCAGCTCATTTTATTCCAGTGTTGACCACTTATTCTTCAGAGAGGTTGGCTGAGATTTATATCAGAGAAATTGTCCGCCTTCATGGTATTCCAATATCCATCATTTCAGACAGAGGTGCATAGTTCACATCACGGTTTTGGAGAGTCGTACATCAGGAGTTGGGTACTAGGTGGAGTTGAGCTCAACCTTTCACCCTCAGACGGATGGGCAGTCCGAGCGCATGATTCAGATTCTTGAGGATATGCTCCATGCATGTGTGATGGAGTTTGGAGGGTCATGGGACCAATACTTTCCACTTGTAGAGTTTGCCTACAACAATATTTACCAGTCCAGCATTCAGATGGCACCGTATGAGGCTTTGTATGGTAGGCGGTGCCGGTCCCCAGTGGTATGGTTTGAGCTGGGCAAGGCCCGATTGTTGGGTACAGATTTGTTCCAGGATGCCCTGGATAAGGTGAAGGTGATCCAGGAGAAACTTCGCACAACCCAGTCCAGGCAGAAGAGTTATGCAGACTGTAAGGTTCGTGATTTGGCATTTATGGTTGGTGAGCGGATCTTGCTTCGGGTATTGCCTATGAAGGACGTCATGAGGTTCGGGAAGAAGGGCAAGCTTAGCCCGAGGTTCATTGGTCCTTTTGAGATATTGCGGCCAGTTGGGGAGGTTGCTTATGAGCTTGCCTTGCCTCCCAGCCTAGCAAGAGTTCACCCAGTATTCCACGTGTCTATACTCCGGAAGTATCACGGTGATCCGACTCATGTATTGGATTTCAGCTCAGTCCAGTTGGACAAAGATCTATCTTATGTTGAGGAGCCAGTAGCCATTTTGTACAGGCAGGTCAGAAAGCTCAGGTCAAAGAATATTGCTTCAGTAAAGGTCTAGTGGAGAGGTCAGCCGGTCGAGGAGGCGACTTGGGAGACCGAGCAGGATATGCGCAGCCAGTACCCTCATCTTTTCACAGTTTCAGGTATGTCTTTATACTCATTCGAGGATGAACGATTGTTTTAAGAGGGGGATGATGTAATGACCCGACCGGTCATTTTGATAATTAGTGCCCTGATCCCCTAATAACTGTTTTCCCCACGTTTGTTTCTGCTATTGGAAGTTGCCGGAGTGATTGATTATGGAATTCAGAGAGTTTTGAGACACTTAGTCCCTAGTTGTGAGTTTATGCCTTAGAATTTGGACCGTAGTCGGAACTGTGTGAAGACGGATCTGGAATGGAATTCCGTTGACTCTGTTAGCTCCGTTGAGTATTTTGGGGTTAGGAGCGCATCCGGAATATGTTTTGGAGGCCTTTAGTAAATTTAGGCTTGAGTTGGCGAAAGTTAGTTTTTAGGTGATTTTGGCCGATAGTGAAAATTTTGATATTGAGATCGGAATGGAATTTTGAAAGTGGTTGTAGGTTCGTAATGTCATTTGTGACCTGTGTGTAAAATTTGAGATCATTCGAACTAGATTTGATGTGGTTCGGCGTCGTTTGTAGAATTTGGAAAATTTTAAATTCTTAGGCTTGAATTCGTGCTTAATGCATGATTTTGGTGTTGTTCGATGTGGTTTGAAGGCTCGACTAAGTTTGTATGGTGTTTTAGGATTGGTTGGTATATTTGGTTGAGGTACCGGGGGCCTTGGGTGTGTTTCGAATGCTTAACAGAATGAATTTGGACTTAAGAACAATCTGGTGTTTTTGCTGGTTCTACTGTAATCGCACCTGCGCAAGGCTGCCCGAAGGTGCGACACCGCAGGTGCGAGAAATTTGGCGCAGAAGCGGAGTTGGGTGGATTAGTCAGGGGTCGCAGGTGCGTGGGAAAAGGCCGCATCTGCGATGCCCGCAAATGCGCAAGACTGTTCGCAAGTGCGCAAGTTACGCAGAAGCGGAAGGGATTTCCGTAGGAGCGCACGCGCAGGTGCAGCCCTTTCGTCGCAGGTGCGAAGGGAGAGGGGGCAAGTGAATTGCGCAGATGCGCACCTTTTCCGCACAAGCGCACCCGCAGGTGCGAGCCCAGGTTCCGCAGGTGTGGAAATACCTGGGCAGTGGTTTAAACCGAAGGGCTCCGCGATATTTGTCATTTTTGACTTTGTAAACTCGGTTTAGGGCGATATTTGAGAGCATTTTTGAGGCATTTCTTGAGGTAACTCCCTTGTGCTTATTTTTTTATCAATAATCTTACTTTTCCATGTATTTTCCCACCTAATTAGTGTGTATTTAAGGTAGAAATTGGAAGTTAGAGGCTAGGGATTTGGAAGTTTGATTTGTGGATTTGGAGGACCATTTGGTGTCGGATTTTAGTAAATTTGATATGGTTAGACTCGTGAGTGAATGGGTGTTCAAAATTTATAATTTTTACCCGATTTCGAGACGTGGGCCCGAAGAGACTTTTTGGACGCTTTTTCTAATTTCACGCTTTAGCTTCGAATTAATTAGTTAAATTAGTTACTTGTAGTTATATTTATATTATGCAATTAATTTGAATAGATTCGGGCCATTTGGAGTCGGATACTCATGGCAAGAACGTGATATCGAGTTGATTTGAGCGGTTCAAGGTACGTGGCTTGCCTAACCTTGTGTTGGGGACTTTCCCCTTAGGATATTTTAATATTATTTGGTGTGTGGGCGCCGTGTACGTAAGGTGACGAGTACGTACACTGGCTGTTATTGCAAAAATCCTATTTATCCTTTTTAAATCATAAATTATTTCTCTTATTAAATTGCACTAATATGTTTAATTGTTTAGTTTAGACTAGAAAGGCATGCTTACGTGTTTTAACTGCCTATTTGACATTCTGTGCGCCATGCTTAGTTAAATCCCTATTTTCCTTATCTGTGATTAGTGTAAGCTGTATAATTCGAGGCCATACCTGTCATTTTATCTTGCATTGCATATTTAAATTGGGACTACCGACGTATTCCGTAAGATTCCATAGCACTGCATATTTACTTTGGGACTACGGACGTATTCCGGGAGATCCCCCTGTACTGCATATTCATTCTGAACTACGGGACGGTATACCGGGAGATTCCCCATTTTGTTTACTTTGTTCTGAACCGAGGGCTCCCGTAACTGTTAAATTTTTGAGAATTTCTTTAACTGTGTTACCGTAAATTTTACTTATATCTTTTACTGTTTAATTTATTATATTTACTCCGGTAGGGCCTTGACCTGACCTCGTCACTACTCGACCGAGGTTATGCTTGGCACTTACTGGGTACCATTGTGGTGTACTCATGCCCTTTCCTGCACATGTTTTCATGTGCAAATCCAGGTACGAGCTATCAGCCTTGGGGTTAGTGCGTGCTGCTGGTTCTAGGAGACTTCAAGGTACTTCTGCTTGCGTCCGCAGATCTTCGAAGTCCCCTTCTACTCCCTCGCCTAAAGACTTTCTTTATTATCTTCAGACTTTTGTATAGAGCTACATAGATTATAGTAGCTTGTGACTTAGTGATATTCCGGATCTTGGGAAATTATTTTGTATATGTCGAGTGGTACTACTTTTGGTTATTCATAATATGCTGTTTATCTTTAAGATATTGTGTTTTCTTTACATTTTTCATAATATTAGGCTTACCTAGTCGTAAAGACTAGGTGCCATCACGATACCTTACAGAGGGTTAATTTGGATCGTGACAAGAATCCCTCAATTCACTCAAGAGCAGTACAACCAAATTCTTCAACTTCTAGGCAATCAGCCTGAGTGCTGTGGTTCTGCTATGGCAGTAGGTATGCCATTATGTGGTGATATTACTAACATTCTGGTTATTGTAGAATCAGGGTCTTCAAGTCACATGGTGAATGATTCTAGCTTGTTGATTAATGCTAAAACTGTAGGTGATAAAGGTGGAAAATTTCACTTACCTACTGGTAGTGTAGCTCATGTTAGTCACATAGGGTCTGCTTCTATTCTTAAGGACCTAATAGTGTCTAATGTGATGCATATTCCTGACTTCAAGTATAATCTTTTATATGTGTCCAAGCTCACAAAGGAAATGAGATGGGTTGTTGTGTTCTTCCCTGATTTCTTCATTTTCCAGGAGCTCTTCAGTGGACAGGTGAGGGTGATTTGTAGAGAGGAAGATGGACTGTATGTGTTCAACTCTACTTCAAAAAAGTCAGTAGCACTACAAGCTCAAAGTCAAAGTCCAGCTGCAGAAACCTTGAATGTTCCAAGGCTAATACATACCATAAATATAATAAAGTCCCCTAATAAGGTAGTAAATGTAGCTTTGTGGCATAAGAGATTGGGTCATGCACCTCTAGATACTTTGAAGAAACTGAATGGTTTTCATGGTTTTCAAGTTGTTGAATGTAGTAGTAAAGACAAGCATTGTACAATATGCCCTTTAGCTAAACAGACAAGACTACCTTTTCCTCTTAGTCCTACATTGTCTAACTCCTACTTTCATACAATTCATGCTGATGTTTAGGGGCCTTATAGATTCCCTACCTATGATGGAATGAGGTATTTATTGACCTTGGTGGATGATTGTTCTAGGTATACATGGATCTTCCTTTTACCTACTAAAGTTGAGGCTGTTGTTGCTCTTAGATCTTTCTTTGCTATGATTAAGAATGCCCATTCAAACTCTGTTAAGTTTTTTAGATCTGATAATGGGTGTGAGTTCTTCAACTCCCATATGTCTGAATTGTTACAATCTCTGGGAATTATACATCAGAGCTTATGCATCCACACTCCACAACAAAATGGAGTTGCTGAAATAAGACACATGTATATTTTGGAGGTTGCTAGAGCACTCGGATTTCAGGCTTCAGTACCATTAAGGTTCTGGGGAGAATGTGTCAATACTGTTGTATACATCATCAACAGACTCCCTTCAACTGTCCTTCAAAAAAAACCTTCTTTTGAGATCATGTTTGGTCATTCACCTTCTTTGCAGCACATGAGAGTCTTTGGATGCTTGGGATATGTGGCTACAGTTAGAAGACCTGATAAGTTTGATCCCAAAGCATATCCTGCAGTCTTCTTGGTTACTCTGCTACATAGAAGGGAATGTTTGGGCTTCATACAAAAGAATTTCATATCAGCAGGGATATAGTTTTTAAGGAGGATGTATTCCTTTCCAGCATATGAGTTCTACCAGCTCAACCTTATTTCCTGTTCTAGACCTCACTACTGTTTCATCAATTGCTCCTACATATGCTTCTTGGTCTGTACCTGCTCAGTCCATACCTTCTTCCTCTCTTGTCTCTCCTGGCTCTTCTGATTCAGCTGGACCTTCTATTCCTCTTTCACCTAGTGGTGGTCTTGCTGATCATGTCACAATCAACGATGCCCCTATCATAACTCCTAGTGCTGAGTCACAAGATGACACCAAAAAGTCTATTAGGGTGAGCAGACCTCCTATATGGATGAAAGACTACATTGTTACTAGCAAAGGAAGTGCACACTGTTGTTATCCTATATCAGTGTCACGACCCAAACCGTAGGGTCGCGACGGATACTTGGTGCCTAACTCAACCGAGTACCAATGTAACGTATAATTCTTATCATACTATCATGGGTAAATGAACCGGAAAGGCCGTCATGAGATAACTAGAATTAAACATAAGAGAATACTCTATATGGGATGACCCAATATGATATAGAAGCTTATGCATGCGACATACGAACCTATAAGGCCGACATGATCATTTGTATACTCAAAACATAGGCCGACAAGGCCATACAAGTATCCATATACATGACATCTGTCTACAAGCCTCTACGAGTACATAAACATCATAAAGGTCGGGACAGGGTCCTACCATACCAATTAATACATGTCTAAATCATACTGACCAAATAGGTAACTCTTGAGCAAGTGGAGTACACCAACACCTTCCGCTGTGCTGATAGCCTACTAGGAAGACTCTCAACCTGTCTATAGGGACCTGCGGGCATGAAACGCAGTGTCCCCAGGCAAAAGAGATGGCAGTACAAATAAAGTACCGAGTATGTAAGGCATGACAATAGTATATAAAAGACATGAAAGAAACATGGAGTAAAGAACTCAACCTGTAATTCTGAATAGCTCTGTGAATCATGAAAAGATTATAATGTCATGCATGTGCATATAAATGTCATACCATGCATATGTATATATGTACATAATATCATCAAGCCTCTAAGGGCATCCCATCATATCATCTCAACCACTGTGGGCGAAATCATCAACGTATACCAGCTGACCAGGTGGTGGTGCGTATATAACGCCATAACCTTTCCCCATACTCATATACATAGACTATACACGTATATAATATCATCTGGTCATGGGGTAGTATACATGTATAAATGGATGCAATGCATAATGAAGTAAGTCAATACGATCTCTCGAAATGCCATAAGACCCATGAATAGACGATATGATAGTAGGACATATAGGGAATCAAGAACATAGGTAACTCTAGTACTTCTAGGAATAGAATTATTTGTGAAAGTTGCGTACTTGCTCATTTCTTGCATCATATAGATCATGCCAAAAGGAAATAAGGGATAGACTTAACATACCTTTGCAATATTCTCTCCAATCGTCAACCAAGCTCAATATGATCTTCTTACGTCTACAATGAGTAACCCGACTTTGTCGTCATCATATAAGCATTGTAACTCTCATATTTCAAAACCAATATTCTACAAGAAAATGGACAGCACTTTCCCTGTTTTTACTACATCCCATAAGTTACTAAAAGTCACCAAACAGTCCAAACAACAATAATATAATTCACAATAAGCTCTATGATTACTTCAACAACCATTTTGAGCGGCAAGCTCGATTTACAATTAATAAAATATAATTTAATCCAATTCTTTTTCTATGAATCTGCCTACAAGTTATATAACATCATACTTATACTTACTATATCGTTTTCATCCCAAAACATCATAAGAATAATCTTCAAAAATAGTCCACACGCCTAGCACCTTAACCTTTATCGTNGGAAATAGGTGTGAGCACCTAATTTTTCACTATATTTGAATTTTTATCACCTTCTACTATGTAAATATTTTCAGAATTTAATATATATTTTTT